AATATAGGTTTCAATTAGAACAAAAAAGTCCAAAAATTTATCTCAGTGACCATTTTTGAAAGTGCCTGAAAGTTGAGTGACCGTTAAAGCAAGTTTCAATCTTCGATGACCATTTTGTTATTTTGCTGTAATTTCAGTGACCATTTGTGAAATTAACCCCTAATTTTGCTATTAAGCAGGACTTGAAATTTGTTCACATTTGCTAAATATGCCCGGAGGGGCATGGTGACAGAGATTGAGTAATTTGGTGGAGTGTTTTGTTTGGAGAACTTTGTTGGAGTAGAAAAGTTAAATTTTATTCCTTACAATGGAATTCGTGTCAATGTGGAGTTTGTTAGAATTGGATAGCGACCCGAATTTTTGTTGAATATTTGATTGGAAATACCGTTGGAAGAGTATTGAGAGTTGATATTATACTTGAAGATGTCTTGAAGAAGTCCAACACAAATTTGACTCGTATTTCATCCTAAATTCTCCATTATTGATTTTACCCATTTATTGGGACTTCACTTTATATTAAACTCTTCATGTATTAATTCTTCTAGTATGTTAGAGATTTTTTAATTATAAATATGTGGTGTATAACACATTGGAATTGACCAATTGTCAAATTAGTTATTGGTCCAAAGAGATCCTTTGTAACTCCATATTATTGATTATAGTAAATTCTACATCTTTACCCGTGGCTTTCCAGATTTGGGTTTCCACGTAAATCTTGTTTTTTTCATGATCCATTGTTTTTCATATTACTTATATTATTCTCATCTTTAATTATTTGATCGGATTCTCAACAAGTGATATGAGAGTGATTCTGGTATTTTGGTTGGTTCATAACAATATCAAATTAAAATAGCATTAAACTGCAAAAATAACCTAGAAATTCAAAAGAAGCTGATTTGTAGCTGGTACATCACCATAATTCATTCGTCTTACCAATTTAACTATAAGAACCAAGAATTCAAGTGTCGGCATAGAGTCTTGGATGACAGCCAATAATACGCCACAATTACTATCAACATCAACAAGCTCCATATGAGTCAGCATGTGAAATTTAGGAAATGAACAACTTCTTGAGAGAAGGTATTGAAATATTAAGAGCACGAACTACTATAAAAATGATGAAACATAGCTCCAAATCCTCAAGCACACGACAATCCCCAAATGCCTTTCCAATAAAATATTTATCACTGACAAATTTCTGGTTTCCCAGATGAAGCAATCTGAGATTTGGTAAATCAACAAGCTCTGGAAGCTTGAATTCACATGTTCTTAATAATTTCAAAGAGACAAGCCTTCTACTCTGGAATATTTCACTTGGAAGGAATATACGATTGATCCGGTTTCCAAAACAAATTACAAGTTCTTGAACGTTATGCCTAATTGCTTCAGATATCCATGAACTAACCTGTGAACCATTAACTTCATCTGATCAGAAGACGTCAATGCAAAATTTATATATATGTGATTGCAAATTTAGCATTCTATCAACGAAACTAGTAAATTTGCACGCAATTTCCTTAGCATGCATGGATTCCCCAGTAAGCATGGCAAGCCTTTTGTAATGGTTTTGAAAAATTAAGAAACTGAGATCAATGGTGGGAACGGAAGCAAAAAAGGTATTAGAACCTTTTAGAGAGAACAGATACTGCGACTACATTCTGTGTGGGGAGGAATGATAATATATAACAAATTATATCACCCGGAAATAAGCGAGTTAAATATTTAAATGGCCATTGAACTTGTATTATGTCGCGGCTTACTCGTCGAACTTTTCAAAGCGTCCTATTAGTCACTGAACTTTGCTCCGTCATTGTCCATTACTCACAAGATGGACGCCGTTTATTTAATGCCGACGTAGATGACGGAAATATGACATGGCCTGTTAACTCCTTCCAAATGTTAAATGTCTCTGCTAACCTAACGCCATTTCATCAATTCAAAGCTGACACTTCATCTCTTTCACCTCCACCTCCACCTCCACCCCCTCCCCACCACCATCTCCTCCTCCATGTTCACCCCCTGAACCAAAACTAGCATTGTCCCAAACCTTGCCCCATGATCTCCTCCTAGACAGCTTGTTAGCGGGCCAAAGGGAAGTAACGAAATCAACGGTCATAAATAGTTCAAGCCAATTAATTGGAAGAAATTGGAGAGCGGTGTTACGCCTCGCTACCAAAGCTCAAAATCAAAGTGCCATGTAGGGATCCATGTGGGCAAAAAGTCAACAGAAAAGTCAAACGAATGCCCATCTTGTCAAATACGAAGAAATCGTGCAAATGCCGAAGTTCATTCCGAGGCACTACCTCAAAAGACGAAACACCATAACTTGGGTTGAAACACTGCCTAAGGAAACAAATAAAAGAGCCGAAGCTCCCCATTCAGACAGCCAGCATAAGGACCTCTTCGAGGCTCTCAGCACACACAAAGCTCTATGAAGTCGATGTTGTCTCTTACAACATATTTGAAGATATTTTAGAAGTGATTGATGTAACACTTGTAATAAACAATGTCAGGTGTGACAGCATATTGTATAGGGTGGTTGACCTCTTATCAATGTGTTAATTGTAAGAATAGATAATGATGTGAAACCTCGGTTAAGGAGATAAAGTCACGTGGTTCTGATCCAACGGACACCATGTCGGCCAAGAAAATATAAATAGGTTATCATCGTGACTTAGAAAAGGTTGGATTTTGGAAGTAAAAATCTTATACTCCTCATTATTGAGTGAATAAGCAATATATGCAACAATTTAGGTGATCATCTTTCTTTTTTCTACATTTGGCGACTAGATACAAATCTCGACATGTAATCGAACACTCATAAACACACATGTCATATATCCTTCTACATATACCTATTTAGTCTTCGGTTTTCGTCGAATGGATTGGATCTTGATTGGTGATCGTTGTTAGCTTGATAATCTTCATTATACTTGTCATAGCTCGAACACTTTTGTTTCTCATCGTAGGGCATCTTCCGCGTTCACGTCTGTTTTTCTCACCGTCTCGCGGTAGAAACTTGCCGAAACTTGCTTGACATGGGGAGAATGGCCCAGCATCTGTTGGCTCATTTTTTGGGGTTAACAAGAGGGACCTGCAAATTTTAACTCTAATAAGAAATATATTGGAGAGCAGGAAATACGATTAATTGGAATAAATTTAACTATAATGAGAAACAGAACCTACAATTTATTGTCGTAGGGATCTGATTCATACTCTCGCTCATTCATAAGTTCCTAAGAAAAAATATTGATCATCCTTGTTGGTTATTTTATGACAATGTTGAGTCTATGTAGCACCATTTAAAGGAGCCAATTAGCACTAAATTTCAAAATTGATGTATGTTGAAAGCAGTGGCCACTGTTGAAAGCCTATGTCCATCATACCGTAAATCCCATTGCAAATGCCCTTTGAAATACCTCTGAAAAGCCCAGAAGCACGATATTAAAATCAAGATACAAAATAATCACAACTCGACAGAAAGTAAAACTTGCAGAAATTTAAAGATTGAACACAAAACCACCGTTTGTACTATCCACTCATTCAAAATTCTCATAAGGAGGTGAACATGGAGCATGAGATAGTGGTGGAGGAAAAGGTAGAGGTGGTGGTGCACGTGGGGAACATGGTGGTGGTATGGTGGAGGTGATAAAATGTCCTCCTTTGAATTGATGAAATGACACTGAGTTGATAGAGGACTAAACATTTGGAAGGAGTTTAATTGACCATGTCATATTTCCATCTTCAACGTCAGAACTAAATGAAACGGCATCCACCTGATGTGTAATGGACAATGACGGAGCAAAGTTCAATGACTAATGGAATGCTTTGAGAAGTTCAATGAATAAGTTGTGCATGGTACAAAGTTTAGTGGTCATTCAATTATTTAACTCGGCAATAAGCTTAGTCTATCTTATCCAACTTTATCTTTCTTTTTGTCTGGTTCCATGGCTGCCTATCCAGGAACATATATAGGATCGAACTACAAGTCGAAATAATATGTAAAAAAAAAAAAAAATTTTTTACACTAACAAATTAAATGGGCCGGAGACTGGATCGAGCTACAACCATGTCTAGTGTACCCCCTACATACGTCCTTGTGCCTATCAATTTTCTGTTCTTGAGGATGGTCGGCGTACTTTCAAATAAATACTGTTTTATTTTGGGTTGACTCTAAATGGCTAACACTAAATCGGCTGGAAATAAGCTTTGGGCAATAGCAACTAAAATACTCTGTCATTTGGGTCGGCCCAAGAAATTAGGTAAAATTATACTCTTAACTTTGAAAAATACATTAAAATACTACCATACTAATTGAGGAAACTATCTCACATGTGATTTTTAACTTCTGAATTCAAAAATCAGATTTAAAAGTTTTTTGCTTGAAAATTAGATGATAATTCAATTTTTTTAATAATACTTTATAAAATTACTCTTAAACCACCTCCATCATAACCGATTTTATTCCCAAACTCTATATCATTTTCCATTTGTGACTCTTCAAACGAAGGCTAAAGGTGAGGAATATCAAGAAATGGTAGCCAATGGATAATAGTGACATGCTTTGTGCGTAGTACGACGAGCGCTGCATAGCGCAACTATACCCATCACCACTGCGCATGAAGCAGCGACGCTGGTGACAATAACACTTTGACTCTCTGCATCTTATGTTGTTACCTTCTTCATCTTGATCTTCTTCTCCATGAGTGAACAGTTACATTGGTCAAATATGTGCGAAAAAGAGGTAGAGGTGGATGAGGGGTTGATTTTGGATTTGAGGTGGATGTAGTGGTGGTTATGGGTTATGGTACAAGTGGTGGCGGTGGAGCAGTTGGCGGTGTAGGCTATGGTGTAGGTGGCGGTCATGGGTTGTGGTGTAGGTAGTGATGATGGATGTAGAAGTACCTTTTGAGGTAGTGGTGGGTTGTAATGCAGGTGGTGACGATGGTTGTGGTGGTGGTGCTTGTGGTGGCAATGGGTTGTGCATCTGAGGTGGCAACAACGATTTTGGTAGCACTGATAGTAATGGAGAGGGGTGGGATAACGTAGGGAAATGAAGACTAATATGTGATCAATATTTGACTAATTGTGACCAATTAATTTGATAATTTATGATCGATAAATGAGTTGTGCCCTGTAAAATTTGTGATCTATGATCGAGAAATAAGTCGTGATCGATGAATTTGATAATTTGTGATCAATAAATAAGTTGAATATAAAATTTGTGATTTGTGATCGATAAATAAGCAGTGATCGATCAGTTTGGTAATTTGTGATTGATAAATAATTTGCGACCTATAAAATTTGTGATTCGTGACTATGACGTTTCGTGATTGTAACTAGTACATAACTGTGAATATAAGTTGTATGATATTTTGACCTTAACATATTTAATTACCTATCTATGACCAAATGTTTAAATGAAAATCTAAAATGTATCTTTAAATCTAGGGAATTATATACTTTTCCCATACCAATTTTATACCTTTCAACCTTTTTTTATTCTTAAAATTCTGGTAGATAGAAAGAAGACATGCCCCAAAGAATCTTCAAAATTTCGAATAATTCCTCCATTAAATTTCATTTTAATCTATTTCAACTCATTATTCAAAATTTGTTCATATCCCAATCTTTCAAGTAATTCCTCCAGTACTTTCTTTATCTTCAAATTGCACATAGTATCTTTAACACTTCATTATTTTAGTGTTGTTATCTAGAACTCAAACTCAATTTTGAACGTTCCAATTTACAATTTCTTGAATTTGAACCTTACCAAAATTTGTTCAAGAACATGATTTAGTTGGTTTTAGTCTAGAATCGATTATATGGAGATCCCACAATGCTGTCCCACTTGATGGGCTAACAAGAACGGTGGTGGGTGGATAGCGATTCCTCTATAGTGATTTTGCACCAAAACTTGATTCGTTAGTCTTTTTACGGAATTGTCTTACCCTACCCAATCCCTTTATAGTTCACCATCTCAAGTTCAAGCCCGTTCTAACCCCTCTTTTCTTTGGTTGAAACCTCCATCTTGGTCCTCCCTTTTCCTTATATTTTGAATAAGTAATTTTTTTACTACTTCTACAATTAGTGGACTAAGGAATTGTCAGAAAGTAGAATCATTACATTATGCTGGTATGGGTTTCCGGGTGGGATAAGGATGTGAATTTTGTACAAGGACGAGGAAGACGCTTGTGAGGAATAGAGGGAGGTTGGTGTGTAGGTAAAGTTGATACTAAAATTTTGTATTTTCTTTTTCTTTTCTCTAAATCCAAAGCAGAATGTTTTGATAGAAAAACATAATAGGATTATTGATCAAAACAATAATCAAATCCTTAATTCTCAATAACATAACCATAGATTCATCTCCATGTTGAAATCCAGAAAAATAACAAAACATAATAACATGCATTGACCCATGATAATCTGATTCTTTGCCTAGATAGGTTAGGATCTTCCAAATGATTGGTAATCTTCCCATAGCTTTTTGCTCTCTATTGATGGAGATGTAGAGAAATTTGAAGAACATCAACAAATGTGGACCATAACCA